AAATAGTATTCTTTCTTTACATCTGAATTTGTTTTTAAGGACTAAGAAATAAAAACATACTGCTCTGTTTCTCAAAAATCAGCAAGCCTTGGGGCGCCTGGGTGGCTCAGTCGTTAAGCGTCTGCCTTCGGCTCAGGTCATGATCCCGGGGTCCTGGGATCGAGCCCCGCATCAGGCTCCCTGTTTGGCAGGAAGCCTACTTCTCCCTCCTCCACTCCCCCTGCTTGTGTTCCCTCTCTCGCTGTCTCTCTCTCTCTCTGTCAAATAAATAAATAAAATGTTTAAAAAAAAAAAAGTGAATTATTCAGGCTGTCCTTCACTTTGAGCTATATATGTAAGTAGATTCATTTTATATCAGGAATGCCTACATATCAGAGACAGTCATTTGGAGGACACACATTTTTTAAGGACGTGCTTTCCGAGGAGGGCTTTGCCCAACTCTGGACAAGACAAATTAGCATGGTTGCTGGCTTCCTTTTAGAACCCAATCTGAAATCGACCACAGAGAAGAGAAGGGTCATGAATCTCAGAACCGCTCACAGTAACCAGCACAAAACCCGTGAGACATTGTGGAGAGACAGACGCTGGTGGGTCCCCATGCCTGTGCAGGAGCAGTGCTGTGACTTGCCCAGGGGCAGAGGCAGGGAGCCGAAGAGCCCAAACTGCAGCCCTAGACGCTGCCTTGTTCCCCTCCGGCTTTCTTCCCAGGCAGCTCTTCCAGCCAACTCCCGACATTTCTAAGTCAAGACCTATGGTTTTGACAGGCTTCCAATGAAAACACAGTGTATAACTTCTAAACCAGTGAAAGGAAAAATGGAAAACAAACTCCACAGGGGGGGAAATGGCAAAGAAAACCCACGACGAACAGAATATGCATGTGTTGTCCCCCACCTCTGTCCCCCCATAAACACACACAGATGGTAGATAAATCCAGATATAACAGTAATCAAAAATATGCAAACAAACTAGTCTTATCAATTCGAATATCAGATTTTTAAAAAGTCTGGCTGTATTGTTCATAAGAGTCATACCTAAAACAGTTACACAGAAAGATTTAAAGTATGGGAGGGGAAATGATACATTAGGTCATCACCAAGTAAAGTCGGTACAGCAACATTAACATAAGGCCATATAGATTTACCAACGAAAAGCATCATTAGTGAGAAAGAGATCTTTACATAATGATAATTACAAACAACCCTAAATCTTAAGATTGAGTAACCCAGAAACAAAAATAGAGATGTACTGAATTCTGGCTTTGGTAAAAAAAACAACCACCCTATTTTTCTAGTTCAGCTTTAGCTTTTAGAAAGTCAAACTGATAAATGCTTAGTTCAATGTCATTTCTGCCATCCTTGAACTTATGCAAGCCAAACAGTACCAGTAAAATGAGAAAAAATGTATGTCATTCAGATTAACTGTGAATATATGAATATTCACTTTTATTTACTGATATGAAATGAGGCCCCTTTAAACACATTTAACGGAATAAATAACAAAAAGGTAGCTAAAATATCTACTATGACTGGAAACCAAGGTGAGTCTTTGGATAACCTTTAATTTTACATTTCCACAGTTTGAAAAATAATACAGGAGTTTTCTTAATTTTGCAATTCCTTCAAGATAATCAAGACAGGTTATAAAAGCATAGCTAAAAAATCAACTATGATTACCTGATGTGTAATAAGGGCCCTTTAAACACACTCAGTGGTTTTTTGAAAGCTTTCATTTTGGAATCAACCTTTTCAGTTTCTTCTGCTTTGGAAGTATGTTCGGTTAGGTTAATCTAAAGACAAAAAAAAAATATGAAGAAAGAAAAGATAAAGAAATTTAGTTTCATGCTGATAGCTGGGCAGTTCATCAGGTCAAAAAGTAAACATAGTGATTCAATCCAAATTACAATCTTTAACCTAAGTTTAGCACACCTAAATTATGTATTTAACATATATTAACATGACCATGAACATATATTTGAGAGCATACTTCAATAAGTCGCTACAGAAAATATAACATGGTCTTTCCCTTAGTCTTTAAATTTGTTCTAAGTTATAACATATTTATCCCTCTACCAAGCCCCTGATGACTCATAAAAAGATAACTGAGTGCTCTTTCAAAACTGAAATAGAGGAAGTAGAAGGTTGTAAACTAACTACTTTTCTCTCAGGTAAATCAAAAATATTTTCAATAAAACAATTCCTTCAAAATGCATTTTGCCAATTTTTATACAAATGCATGAAATCAGCCTTTTTAAACACCACAGTGATATTACTGGTTAGCTAGTACCATCCTTCCTCTTATTTACAGACAAAGATGGGGAAGGGCGGCAAGTTAAGTGAATTACAATCACATACACAGCTAGTTGCAGAATGGTGGACAGGCCACAGGTTTTGACGCCATTTTGTTGTTAAAATTACCTTTTTTAGAAGAGTTGTTTGTTCTTCACTAGAAACTGTTTCCAGGGTTTCTTTGCCATCACTTTCTATATCTTCTTTACTTGAAGCTTCATCCTCACTGGCAATAGGCCCATTTTCACACAATGGTGTCTGGAAGTCATCATCTACTAGTGGTGGATAGCTATACTTGAAAGGATCCTAAAAGAAAGGAATTTTATAACAGCCTGCTAAGAGGTGGGTAGAGAAATAATTCTCTAAGTAAAATTAAAATCCACTCTCCTGGCCAAAAAAAAAAGGAAGAAAAACAGACTTAATTAGTGAAATTTTTAAAAAAGGAAGCATTTCAAAACACAAAGGGGAAGAGCAGAAAGTGGTGTGGACAACTGGCTAGCCATCTGTGAAAGCACCGAGTTGGATCTTTAGCTCATTCTTTGCACCAAAAAGAATTTCAGATGGATAAAAACTTTGAAGTATGTATTTTTTTAAAAAGTTTATTTATTTTTTTTGTAATCTCTACCCTCAATGTGGGGCTCAAGCCCACGACCTCGAGATCAAGAGTAGCACACTCTTCCGATGGAATCAGCCAGGCACTCCAAAAGTGTGTATTTTTTTAAAACCCATGTAAGCTTAAAAAAAAAAAAAAAAAGCTCCAGAACAAGAACAACACACAGGATTAAAAAACAGAAAACACAAAACCTAAGTATCGAAGACCTTTCTAATCATAGCACAAAACCTAGCAGGCATAAAAATACTGATAAAAATGGAGCACGCTAAAATGAAACATCTCTGAATTGCAAAAAAACAAAACCCAACAATCAACCAACCAACCACACCCCCCCGCCAAGAAAACCCCCTAAAAAACCAAGTTTTTTTTTTTCTTTAAAGCCACAACTGGGAAAATTATGTACCACATGTATCAGAAACAAGATAGCTTTTGTTAATATATACAAATCAACAAGAAAGGAGTAATAACAGAACAAAAGATAAAGGAATGATACAGAGTTCACAGAAAAAGAAGACTACCTTTTAAATAATAAAAAATGCTCATCATCACTTACAATAACAGAAATGCAAAACCACAATATTTTTCACCCAAGACTGGCAATGATTACAAAAATGAGAGATGTGGTTCAAGCATGCCACACATAATTGGGAAATGAGCACAATCTCTTTAGAGGGAAACTGGCAACAGGTAACAAAATTTAAACTACAAATACCCATTGACCTGATGATTTTACCTCTAGGAGTTCATCTTCTACTTACACTGCTGTACCCATGTACCAAGAGTTATTTACAAGGATATTCACTGCAGCACTATTAATAATGGCAAGATTAGGAAACAACTACTAGTCCTTCAAAAGAGAACTGATTAAATACATTATGTTACATCTATACAATGGAATATTCTGAAATGGTTTAAAAAATCAGGTAGACCTCTAAGAATCAATATGGCATAACCTAACAAGAAATGTGGAAAAACTAGTACAACATACATGAAAAAATAAAATGGACAGAATATCTCTAGGAGAGAAAACTTGGAAACAGTGACTGACTGCCTGTGGAGAGTGGCAGTGGGCAGTAATGTGGGGAGGGAGACATACTTTTCACTAAGCTGTTGTACTTTTCAGTCTTCTGGTACTGTTTGCTTTAAAAAAGAAAGGTCTATGTATTACTTTTGGGGAAAATTATGTTAAAGAATAGTAGTCCTACTACAATTCTGAGTACAGTCCTGAAAAAAATACATCATTAATGACAGAGAAGGGAGACACTCTTTTTCTACCCCTAAAAACAATTTTTGCTAGATACCATTAATTTTAAGATATAACAATTCTATGGGCAAATTATTAAAAAGAAATCAAATAGCTCGTTTAACTAAAGGCAGAACCTGAAATGAACCATACTGTGTTCTTGTTAAAATGTAAAATATAAAGCCTTAAAATAGGAAAGTTGCAAATTTCAAATTAAAAATACTGTATGGTGACTAACATAACATAATGAAATAAAATAAAAAAAAATAAAAATATTGGTTCAAGTTTTTTCTTATTAAAGAAAACAAAAGGACATACCAAAACTTTTTATCTTGCTAGTCACTTGATTCTGGTTGAATACAATTTTGCCAGGTAGACAGTATATGAAATAGATTATAACAATCAAACAACTGAAATATTATCAATCAAGTTAACCCAAAGCATACCAAATCCATAGGTTTTCATAGTTTAGAGGAAAAATCATTATCACAGTATGTTTCACTGTTATGTAGTATTAAAAATTTAACACGTACCTACTTATTCCTGGTCTCTTATTTGTAAGTAGTATAACCATTTCAAAAAAACTTGATTATCTTTTAAATTAAAAAGACTGTTCAACAGTAAACAAATGGAAGCAAACTAAGGCACATGAAAAAAATTCAATAACTCATGGCTACTAATTAAATGATTTATGGTTCATCTCTAGATATAGGAATACTATGTCACCATAAACAAGAGTAAAACAGTTTGTCCTATTGATTTGGAATGATCTCTAAGACACGTTGTAAAGAAAAAAATAGGACGCATAATGGTGTAAAAACACACTACTTGTTTAAAAGAGATGGGAGGGAGAAAGAATTACATATTTGCTTATATGTATTACAAATATACTGTACTGCTTACATAGGCAATACAGATTCATGGAAATAAATATAAGAAATGGAACTGGGGAGAGGAAGAGAGTAACTAGGATAGCAGTAGAAAGACTTTTTACTGTACTGTTTCTGAATATTTGTACTGAATACTTTTCAGTTTAGAATCATGTGATTCTAAAAATTCTCAAAATGAAAATTTAACACCTTGAAAACTTATATAAAAAATGTCTGTAATGGTGTTATTTTGGAGTATCTATGATCTTTCTCTGGATATTAAGATACTGCTTTTTCTTCTTCCTTAAAGAAATACAGCCTAATGTGCCATGATGCAGTCTTATTTTAGAAACACATTCCGAGGACGATACTTACAGTCCCACCCATGTGGGGAGGCAGATACTCGACACTGACATAGTCCTGGACTTCATTTTTGCTGGTAAACTTCAACAAACTCACTGCTTCCGGACCAAGCCAGGATTTCACAATTTTGAAAGCAGCTGAAGAAGAAACAGTCACTTCATTAAATTCATTCTCCTTCTCAATTAATTTACTGTATGTGGTAATGTAGGTTTTCTGAAATTTGTTTGGGCAAAACTCTGTTAATATGTATCTTTCTGTGGTATGATAATTAACATTCACTAGTTCCTGTAAGCATTTACACTGTGATGATCTGTTAATGGGTTTCAAATGTTCCATGAAGATTCAGGAAGATGAAATTACCTTGATGTGCGTCAATAAACTTATCAAGGTCCTGGCCTCTGTACAAATCTGTCAATGATCCCCACTACTAAGATTCCCAGACACGGAACCAAATAGCACTGTAGTTTGAGGAATAACTGCACAATAGTATGGAAAGAGTCATTTTTCCTTACACTCCTGATCAATCCCCAACCTGAAAAACCTTCTCAAATGGGAAGTCAACAAGAGAAGGAAGTAGCTCTCCTCATGGGTTTGAGCTAGACTCAGACTTCATCCTAACCCTAAACTTTTGCCTTTCTTGCAAGCCCTGCAGCTTATATAATTGTGAGGAACTTATTTATGGAACCTACAAGAATACATTGTTATCAAACACAGCTCTTTAGTAATTACAATCTTGCTCTTTCATGCTATTCTAATTTATACTTAATTTTTTTAAACCTTGCTTCCATTCTGACATTCTAAACACATTTTAAAGAAATTAAAAGAGGAATCCTGCATTAAATTTGTAAAAGCATCAATGAAAAAAAATCAGGAAATAAAACAGTATGATAAAAATTAAATAGTGGTTCAGAAAACTGCATTTTTACTTTGGCTAATTATGCTTAAATTTTACATGAGGTTTACATTTTCATTAATTTCAATTTAAAAAGTCTGTGAGTTGACATGTTTGAAGCTATGCTACTTGAATTAACCAAAGTGCTAAATCTAATTTTTTATAACAGCTTTGTTGAAATATAATATGTACATATCATAAAATTCACCCTTTAAAGTATGCACATCAAAGGTTTTAAGTGTATTCAGACAACTGTATAACCATCACCACTATTTAATTTTAGAACATGTTCATAACACCAAAAAGAAACCCCTGCCCATAAGCAATTCTCCTTAACCTCCCTACCTTATTCCCTGGCAACCACTAATCTACTTTCTGGATTTGCCTATTTTGGATATTAATATAAATGCCATCATACAACATGGGGTTTTCTTTTTTTTATTGGCTTTGTTCACTCAGGATGCTTTCACGGGTCATCTATGATATAAGCATGTATCGGTATTTAATTCCTTTTCATGGCCGAATAATTTTCCATTTTATGGATCTACAACATTTGTTTATCCATTCGCCAACTGATAAACATTTGAGTAGTTTCCACTTTTTATTATTATGAATAATACTGCTATGAACATCTGTGTACAAGTTTTTATGTAGACATATGCTTTCAATTCTCTTGGGAATATACTTAGGAATGGAATTGAATTATATGATAATTCGATGTTTAACTTTTTGAGGAACTGCCAAACTGCTTTCCAGAGTGGCTGCACCATTTTACATTCTCACCAGTAATGTATGAGGATTCTAATTTCTCCATATCCTCAACACTTGTTACTGTCTTTTTGATTATAGCCATCCTAGTTGGTGTGAAGTATTATCTCATTTGGTTTTGACTTGTAGCTCTCTAATGACTAATGATGTTGTGCATCTTTTTATATGTTTATTGCCCATTTGCATAACTTCTTTGGAAAAATGTCTATTCAAATCTTTCGTCCTTTTTAATTGGGCCATTTGTCTTTTTATTGTGTGCTGTAAAAGCCACTTATATATTCTAGATCTAAGTCCCTTATCAGATGTATGATTTGTAAATATTTTATTCCATTCTGAGAGTTGTCTTTTCACCTTCTGGATGGTGTCCTTCGAAGTACAAAATTTTGAATTTTAATGAAGTCCAATGTATCTGTTCTTTTGTTGCTTGTGCTTTTCTGGTGTCATATCAAGAAACCACTGCCTAATCCAAGGTCACAAAGATTTACTCCCATGGTTTCTTCTTTTATAGTTCTAACCCTTACAATCAGGTCTCTGATCCACTTTGAGCTTATTTTTGTATATGGAGGGAGGTAGAGGTCCAACTTCACTGTTCAATTATTCCAGTATCATTTATTAAAGAGACTGTTCTTTCTCAAGAGAGATCTTGGAAGACAGTGGCAGAGTAGAAGGACCCTAAGGCATGCCTCGTCCCACAAATACAACTAGATAACTATCAAATCATCCTAAATGCCCCAGAAATTCATCTGAAGACTGGCAGAACAAACTCCACGAGGTAGAGACAAGGCCACATCAAAGAAGGTAGGAAGTAGAGACCTGGCTTAGGAGAGAAATGGATTATGGCTGCTGCAATGGGGAGGGAGCCTTGGTCACGGAGAAGGGCAAGAGACAGACTAGCACACAGGGGAGCACATGGGGAAAACAAATCCCCACAGCAACTGGCTTGGAAAGCGAGAGGGCCTGAATTTCGTGAGCTCTTGCAATCAGTAGGGCTTAAAGCGGAGTTTTAAACTTCAGCGTGCTTGGCTTTGGAAGAGCTCAGAGGACACTGGGGCTGCTCCTGGGGAGAAAGCAGGACAAACAGCCCATGGATATACAGTGTGGAAACAGAGATCTGAAGAGCACCCGGGGCACACAGTACGGAGGTTATCTGCTCATCTTGGAGCATGTCCCAGACAGGCAGCATTCATGGAGAGACCCCTTGGGGAACAAAGAAACTGGCAGGTACCATTTCACTCCCCCCCCCCCAGCATAAGCACAGGGCCACCTGCAGGAACCAGCACAGTACTGACACTTGCTACCTAACTTGCTTACACCCAAGCTCTTCCACAGCCCCATGCTCTAGAAGAAACGCCCTTCCCAGTCATGCTTCCCTCAGCTCCAGGTCTGCAGGCCCTCTCCCCCAGGAGACCGGCCCAAACCCTTGCCAATACTGCATCTCCTGACCCAGGAGTTTTGTGAGGCCCCGACAGGTCTCACTTCACAAACAGACCAGAGCACACCTAGTTAAAATGTGCCACATTCAGGCCAGGGACCAAACTCTGCCCACAACAGGCAAAGAGAGCCTCTGCAGATGCCTGGCCTGAAGGATAAAGTGGTCAGGACACAAGAGCAGAGCACACACAGCACACACTGGAGACACTCCCAGAAGCGCCAGGCCCTGGGGAACAGGGGACACCACATGGCAGGGCACTATAGCACTTCTTCCTCATAAGGCAGTTACCCTTAAGAACAGGAGATGTAGCTGACTTTCCTAACACACCGAGACAGGCATAGACACTTAGACAAAATGAGAAGACAGATTTATCCCACATGAAAGAACAGGATGAGGCCACGGCCAGAGATCTAAGTGAAACAGATACAAGTAACATGCCTGGTGGAGAATTTTTTAAAAAGATTCATTTATTAGGGCGCCTGGGTGGCTCAGTTGGTTGAGCGATTGCCTTCGGCTCAGGTCATGGTCCTGGAGTCCCGGGATCGAGTCCCGCATTGGGCTCCTTGCTCGGCGGGGGGTCTGCTTCTCCCTCTGACCCTCCCCCCTCTCATGTGCTCTCTCTCTTTCTAAAAAAAAAAAAAAAAAAAAGATTCATTTATTTTAGAGAGACAGTGTGAGCAGGGGTAGGGGCAGAGGGAGAGAGAGAGAGAGAGAGAGAGAATTCCAAGCAGATTCCACACCGAGCATGGAGCCCAACAAGGGACTTGATCCCATGACCTCGAGGCCACAACCCAAGCAGAAACCAAGAGTCAGATGCTCAACTGACTGAGCCATCCAGGCGCCCCCTGATGGAGAATTTAAAGCAATGACCACAAGGATACTCACTGGACTTGAGAAAAGAGTGGAAGGCATCAGTGAGACCATGAACACAGAGATAAGGGATAACAAAGCAGAGATAAAGGTCTCAATAAACAAAATGAGAAACACACTTGATGGAATGAAAAGCAGGGTGAAATAAGCAGAGAAATGAATTAGTGACCTAGAAGAGTAATGGAAAATAAGATGAACAAAAGAGAGAAAAAAGAATTATGCAAAATGAGAACAGACTAGGGAACTCAGTTGACTCCATCAAACATAATAACATTCATATTATAGGAGTCCCAGAAGAAGAATAAAGAGAAAAGGGGGCAGAGAATTTCTTTGAAGAAATAGTGGCTGAAAACTTCCCTAATCTGGGGAAGGAAACAGATATCTAGATCCAGGTGGCACAGAGAACCCCTAACAAAATTATCAAAAGCAGATCCACATCAAGACATATTGTAGGGGCGCCTGGGTGGCTCAGTCAGTTAAGCATCCGACTCTTGGTTTTGGCTCACGTCATGATCTCAGGGTCATAAGATCGAGCCCCACGTCAGGCTCTGCACTCTGCAGAGTCTGCTTGTCCTCCTCCCTCCCCCTCAAATAAATAAATAAAATCTTTAAAAAAAGACATACTGTAATTAAGATGGCAAAATATGGTGATAAAGAAAAAAATACTAAAAGCAGCAAGACAAAAGAAGACAGTTACATACAAAGGGAACCCCATAAGGCTATCAATGGATTTTTCAGCAGAAACTTTATAAGCCAGAAAGGAATGGTATGATATATTCAAAATGCTGAATGGGAAAAACCTGCGGCCAAGATTATTCTATCCAGCAAGGCTATCAGTCAGAATAGAAGGAGAAATAATGAGGTTCCCAGACAAAAACAAAGGAGTTCATGACTACTACTAACCCAGCCCTGTGAGAAATATTAAAGGGGACTCGAAGTGGAAAGGAGAGACCAAAAGTGACAGTATAAAGGTAGGAAACACTGAAGCAGTAAAAATGAATATTTCTGTAAGAAATCAGTCAAGGAACTCACAAAATAAAAGGATGTAAAATATGACACCCTACACTTAAAATGTGGGGAGAGAGGAACAAAGAATGGGTTCAAAGTTAGAAGACCATCAACTTAATATAGACTGCTATATGCAGAAGAGGTTATTTATATACAAACATAATGGTAACCACAAATCAAAAACCACTAACAAGTATGCAAAGAATAAAGAGAAAGAAATCCAAGTATACCACTAAAGAAAATCAGCAAACCATGAAAGACAAAAAAGGGATTAGAGAAAATCTTCAGAAACAACCACAAAACAAGTAATAAAATGGCAATAAATACATATGTGTTAATAATTACTCTGAATGTAAATGGACTAAA